TGACTACTATTTTGATTATAACTTTTTTTATAAATACCATTTTTAGCTGATTCCAGTTGCATTGGATTCTACACATCCAAAGTTTTAAAATTCATATATGGATCATTGAATTTAGAGTTGATTTCAATTTTTTATGATTTTTTGAATTTGAGACAAATTTGCTTAATATTGTTGTGAGATTATATTTAGACTTTTTGTTATTAGATTATTGTATCTAGGCTTTTAGTTATAATTAAAGTTCAAATTTTGGCCCTTTAATTTATCCTAATTAGAGCTTATAAATAGATTAGTAAGGTTCTAAATCAAGGTGTGCAATTAGACACTTTGAGATTTGGCTGTAATAAAAATCTTTATTTTTAACTTTTCTTTAATTCTTGTTTGGCTTAAGTGTTTCAATGGAAAGTTAAAGCTCCCGTTCAATCTGTGAAATCTAAACGTTATAAATTCGATTTGAATTCTAAGTTAAATTGCTCTAAGTTTTTCTTTTTTTTTAATTTCATATTTGTGTATTACTATTATAATTAACTTTTCTATTATTAGAATTCAAATTAGTACTCGATTGATGTTTTTATTTGATAATTAATGTGGATTAAGTTGAATGCTAATTTAATTTAATTTATATCTTTGTTTAATTAGATTATTCGATTGAAGTAATAATTAAATTAGGTAATTGTTTAAATATGGATTAAAATCTTTAGATATTGTGGTAACTAAAGTTAAGTGCAATTGATATTTTGTGGATTGATATTTTTTAATTTATTTTTACTTAATTTAATTTAATTAATTTATAATTTTTAAACTCCCAAACAATATTTGCATTCTTTAGATTTACACAATCCTATTATAAAATCCATAATGATGGAAGTCCATCGGACAAACTGGCGGCTGTTCTTTTTGTTAGGTATTTTTTTATATATGATTTAATTAAATATTTATTTAATAATTTTTTTAATAATCACTTATATTATAAGATAATATTTAGCGTGTAAAATTTTTTTAGTTTATAAGAATTATATTTTTTGAAAATGTGAAAAATATGTTTAATATGTTCTAAATATCTTAAATAATGTTTTGATCCGGTGTTTATTTTAACTATAATATAAATAACTTATTTACACTATTAACTTAATTTATGTTTATTTAAAAATTAATATAAAATTTAAAATATATATATATATATATATATATATATCAACTTATTAATACACGTATTATAATATTATTCGGTGATACTTAACATATAGCATTTTTATATTACAAAATTCATTCAATAATAAAAAAAGGTAACTTATTAAAATAAATTACAAAGAGCTTATAAAAATTATAAATTATTTATAAACTTTTTAAATAAATTTGATCCCAAAATTAAAAGCAAGTTATAGAATAGGGTTATACACTAATATTGTCTTTGGATTTTATTATCTTTAAACATTATTATAATACTTAATTATGAATATAATTTTATTATTACTTTAATTAATTAATTACGCAAAAAAAAATTCATTTAAATACATTAATCAAAAAGTGATGTTGACATTATATATTTTCTTTAAATTATCTAAATTAATTTTTAGAGTACAATTATAAAAAGGGTAAAAAGATTTGTTTGTATTGTTTTTATATTCAAATTAATAAATTATAATGTTATTTTACATTGTTTTACTATTTATTTTTTAATGAGTCAATCAATGAGTTAGTGAGTGTTATTTATATTTTTAAAATATAACTATTAAATTTCTTTAGCTCTTTATTTTTTTAATATATCTAACAAAATACATTATATTTTTTTTATCATGAGTAAAGTTAGTCAATTCTTTTCCTTAATTCTTCATATATCAAAGATGCTCTTATTATTTATAAAATATGTATATTAAATATATTATAGTGTATTTTTTTAGACAATCAGTGCAAAGCAAAATTGTTACAATTATCCAACTATCCAAGTTAACTTGTGCTCACTGCTCCATTTTATGCCTCATATGTATCTTAAATATTGCTCATGAAAAACCCTATTTACGATGGTGGTGATTTTAGGAAGGAGGGGAAGGGTTAATGGAACAAATTTAAGGAGAATGATTCTTTTACATTTTATTATGGGGTATGTGAAATGAGTATAAAAATATAAGACTTGCAAGTTTTAATGTTATCTTTCTGTATCTTTATTTGTTGTTCTTAACAAATTTGAGTGGTAAGGACAGCCAACATAAATGAATTAAAAAAAGTCTTGCTAATTATGTTTTGTGTAACATTAATATATATAAATAGGCCCTTTGATTTATTCACCACACGGTTTTATTCGAAAGACCCTATGGGTTATGTTACAAAGACTGTGTGTCCCTGACCTAATCCAAGCACTGTATGAAGTCATAACAAGTCCAAGAACCCTTATGCAGATCATGTGCCAATTACAGTCTCTTTATGTGCTATTAATATAATAGCAATTAATAGGCCCAATCCCCTTAATGTAGGCACGTTCCTTTGATTAAGGAAGAAATTGAATCACATTCAAACCAAGTTTTTTAATTTCCAATATGTTGGGCATTCCCCATATGATGTGAAAATGTTCAAGTTTAATCACAATTCTACCGTGTTTTATTGACTGCGTATGAACTGATAAGTTTACAAGGAAAAACTCTTTCAAGAGTTTATGTCACTATTAAATATTCTGTGTAATGTATTGGTATATTAATTCAAATATAAAAAATGAACTAAAAATTGTTATATGAAATAGATATAGTTGGTAGATAATTATTTTATGAATAATCAATTTAAATCTATAGATATTTATGATTTCAAATTTTCAAATTTCAAAAACTTTTCTAATCAATGAAAAATATTTTAATGATGATTGCAAACATTTTATTTTATTTTATTTAACGTTGACTGGAGAAATTTACGTATTGATTAATAATCATAAGATTATAAAAGGAAAATATCTTTTTTATTTGCATAATCAATTTAAAAATAAATCAATGTTAATTTAATTTGATTTTTTAATGTAAAAGCTTATGAAATATGTTCATAATATTTTTTTAAAAATGTAACTTTATGGGAAGAGAGAATATGAGATGATTTTATGAAAAATTAGAAGAAATCTCAAATTTAATTCATAAATTTAGATTATTCACCTTTAGCTTACAAAAAAGAGTTAAAGAAAGGAATAGTCTTGCTTGCACAGTTAATCCCTCTTCCCAATGTTTTCAAAATTGAACATGTCATTGAACAAAGAAAATTATTGATATATGATTCATTTATTCAACTATAATTAAAAAAAGATTAGGTGAGCTTCTAAATTAATATGAAAGGTTCATATTAAATATGAAAACGAGATATGTAAGATTAAAAAAATAGAAAAAACAGCTAAATAACAATGTATACATAAATCTCATGTACAAACTTTTATATATAGAAAATTTTATTAGTATAAAAAATTGTAAAATATCAATGAATTATATTGGATGATAAATATAAATTTTAAATTAATTATTATAAAAGCTAATGATTAGTATTGATATGATATTGTTAGTCATTTAAATTAAAATTCTTATTTATTTAAAAATATTTTAGAATAGTAAAAAGTTTTAAAAATATAGAAAAAGAGCAACGTTTTTTTTTTTAAAGCTGGTCAAATTGGTTTTTGCACTAAACTTTATTTCTAATTTGAACTTTTTCACTATATTACAATATCAGTTTTCCTAAACTTGATTGCTTTCTATTTAATTTTAATAATTACGTGTCTCTCTTCTTATCTTATGTCATTTTGTGGTCCGATTTGTCCAAAAAATCTATTGAATTTTGTGATACTTTTGCAATTTCAAAGTTATATTATGAGGCAAATAATTTTTTAAGAAAAGTATTATCACACACCTCATGCTCATGCTACGTGTCCACGTACATAGATAGATATCTACTATTCAAAACGACGTAGAATGTTTAAATAGTTCAAAGATAATACATATGTGGCAATATAAATCACACTATGCTGAAAGAAAATTTATTAAAGGTTTCATATATTATTTATTGTAGTGATAAGTCATTAGACAGCTAGCGTTTGAAACATACAAAATTACGTCATGCTATTAAAGAACAGGTAGGATTTAACTGGGGAAAAAATATACAGGAATACAATTAAAATTGCAAAAAAAAGAGATATAAAAATTAAAATTGAGTGTCGAGATTTATTAGAAATCAAAATGGAATGTTTGAATATAAGGTCATTTGAAAAACGTTTTAATTTTCTAATTATTTTTAAGTTTGAACACTAATAAACCGCTTAATGTTATTGGATACATAAAAGTACGTGAGTTTTTTCCTTCTTTTTCTTTTCCACATAGTAGAAAATTTTTAAGGAGCATAGAAGGTCACAACTTTCCAGCTAATTAAAGAAAAGTAATTAACTAAAGTGAAATTGCTTTATCAATTCCACCAATCTAGATCGATATTGGTAATCCAACATTTCAACTCCAACCACGCAATTAGAGAATAATTAACTCTAAATTTGTTGCAAATCCAAAAGTTTTTAGAACAAAAGTCCCAGTTTGTCAAGCAAATCTCCAAAGCACCCAAATTAATCATGGCAGCCAACCTGGCCTCCACAAGATGGAATAGATCATTAGAGAGACCCCAAAAAAAAAATTGTCCTAAACTTTCAAATCCTTCCATTTTCACACATAATTTGACATCCAAGAAAATGGGGCACAATCAAAATTGAGACTATTCTATATTTATAAAAAAAAATATTAAAAAAAAAAGAGAAAGGTTAAGGAAAGGGAATTATAATTAATTAACTAGCATCACGAGGGTACTCCCAATTGTTTTAATTTGTATGTACAAAGCACAAAAACTGAAAGCACTCTTGGTTAATTTCCCTACAAAGCACAAGACAAATCCTCAATCATAAACCACTAATCCTCTTGCATGAAAGCAAGAAGCAGGATTGACCCAATAGGCCAATTCTCGGTTTCATCAACTCCAAATATAATTATAAACTAATGACGTTCTCAATTCACTTCAGGGATGCTTTGAAGTGCAGGTCTCCATGGCCTTTGTAGTGATTGATAGCCACCACTATGCTTCATCAAATGAGACATAACTTGCTCAACCCTCAACTCCCTCACATCCACTTTGCTTAGCAACTCCTCTAACTGCTTCTTTGTGATCTTTATCTTCACTTCCGTTGTTGTTTTAGCATTATTTGCACCTTTGCTGGAAGTGTCAAAAGCACCCTCATCTCCCTGAAAATCCCATTCTTCATCATCCTCATAGGTGGTGTAATTGGTGGATGATTGGAGCCTCAAGCAATTTCCCATATTAGCAAGTTTTGAGAGTGCGCTTTTGGGCAAAGAGAGAGAGAGAGAGAGAGAGTTAAGGTTCCTTGATGGGTGGTGATTGCAGTGAAGTTAGAGGGAATTGGTGGGAAAGAGTTGGGTAATATATAAGCAGAAAAGAAAAGATTAAGAATATGGAATACATGAGAATGAGTCAAAGGTAATTTATTCCACGTAAGAACGTTGGTGTTTCCATATTCTTACGTGGAAAGTGGCAGTCAAATGGAGCCTACCATGTAAAGTGGCGGCTGTTCTTCATTTTTGGTCCCAAATTTGAAGCCATCCTATTATGGCACGTTTATAATAATAATAATAATAATAATATAGCTTTTTTTCATTACAATCTCTAAATATAATCTAATTTAAATACAGACTTACACATTAGTTTAGTTGTTTGAAGTCAGATATGTGTGCAAAGGTATTAGGTTAAGAAAATTTTAAAAAATATATAGGAAAATTGCTTTATAGGAGAATTTTAAAAAATATTTTTGATATGTTTGAAAAATATTTCCGTAGACCCAGCAGCTATATATTGTTTTGAAAATGGTACTATTTGCATGTTGGTGATATTTTTAAACATTTCCCACACAAAAATGTTCCAAAGGATTTCGTGCATTATTTTTACGAAAGTTTTTATTGAATTAGTGTATATCCGTGTTATTCCCTTTAATAATAATATGCATTATTTATATTTTTATGTATTTTTAATATGAATCTATTTTGTGGCATATATATTTCTTTAAGTTAAAGTGTCTTGATTGATTAGTTGTGATTGTATTTGTATTTTTTGTAATTTAAATTGTATGTAACTTTATTTTTTGAGTTCTTTTTAAACTGATGAAGTCTTTTTTTTTTTTAAATTAAGTAAAGTTTGCCCTATTATCTACTTATTTTTACTCTTTCTAAATATTTAAAAGTTTTTACGATGGATATATAATATAACATAATTTTAAAAGTTTAGAAGTCAAAATTGAGTAAAAATTTGATAAAAAAAAAATTTATATAATATGATATTAAAGTTTAAAGAAATTAGGATTTTTAATTTTTTTGTAAAATTTAATATTTTAGTTAATTAATTTGATAGCTTAATTTAATTTATGAATATCTTGAGTAAAACTTTATAATTTAGGAGTCTAGATTAAAAATAATAAAAATGTAAGAGTTTTAGTTATAAACAAAAATTAATAAAGAGAAAGATTATTTAACACTCAGTGTATAGGCTCCATTATATTATAATAGTTGTATAGGATGTAGGGTATAAACAACCAAATTAAGTGTTAAAATAGTATTACTGGTTAATAATAAGATTCTTATTTCTTAATTTTAATAAATATATAATTAATTTAAAAAACTGAAGAACTCAAATTTTATACAATTGAAACTAAAAGCATAATTTAAGACAGATGATTGATAGCCTAGTAATTTAATTTTTACTCATATATTTAAGTATTAATTAATTGAAAAAAGTGTAAATAATTAAGTGTGAATAATTTATATAAAAATTCAGATGTAATAATTTATTAATTATGATGGATAAAAATAATGTATGAAATATAATGTGTAAATAACACAATTGCTTCCAACAGAGAGATAATTCAAAAAGTAAACCCTCCCTATTTTGTCGAGTGTGTATCCGTTTGAGTTTATTGTTTATTAATCGATTTTCAATATACATGATTGTCAATGTTAATTAGTGTAGAATTTGCTTAAAAAAGTATATAAAGAACTTATAAAATAATTTATAAATTTTTTATTATTGAATTTATTACATCAATGATTAAATAAATAAATAATGAATTAATACTTAGTAAAGATGGAAGTTATGATTAAGTGTGAAAGGGTCAAGTTAATTGGGAATCTGAAGACACATAAAAGCTCATAATGCATAGGTGTGAACACAAATTAGCGAAAGGAATCTTTAAGTGAAGATGCTATTTATTTGGCTATCATTCACGTGCTGTTTGTTATTCTGCTCTCTTTCATTTAGCTGATCATAAACTCAACTAGTTGTAAGATCAAAATAATAATAAATATTTTTTATAAATAAAATTTATTTTTTATTTTTTATTTTTGAAAAGTTCAGAGATTTTTTAAATACATGTTCTCGCTGCTCGCTTTTAAAGACATTATTTGACTTTAAGAATATCCATGTTCTGTCTGCACAACGTAGAAAATGCTAAAAAGTAATACTATAGAAATTATTGTTAAATATTAATATATTATTTAATATTTGTGATATTTTATAATATATTAAAAGTAATAAGGAATATTCAATATATAAAGTAAAGCAATCGTGCTTTGCATTAACTTTAACGTTTAAATCTATAAAGCAAAGGTTGGTGAAAAGCAAATCATGCCAACGTTGATTATCTTTTCATTCATTCTTTTATAAAACGCAAATAGATAGCATGTCGAAATGTAGCTGAGAGAAAAAATTGAACAAAATATAAACTCACTTCAAACTTATGAAAAAAAAATATAAATTATAAGTTTAAGTGATTTATTTCTTTAAAATACTTTAAAAATTAAAATTTATGTACGAATGTTCACTAGTTAACAAAAATCAACTCAACTCATGAAAAATATAAATAAAATGTCCATTCGAATGAAAATTTGGAACCCAATAAATACTTATTAAGTCTCAAATTTATAGTGTGATTCGATGATTCATGAGTACCCCTTAATACATAGGAACTTAAAATTATAATTTTAATTACATTTCGCTTCTTATACCTTAAGTCAACAAGTCTAATTTTAATCCTGATGTAACATATTGCCATCAAATCACAGTATATATTAGCATTTCCATGCAGAGTACTGATAATCCGTAATTTTAAATTTACACTTGCGTCTTTGATCATGGCACTGCTGTCTATTCCTCCAAGTCTAATTATATATGTTATTGTTTTTAAAGCTGAAAAACTAGGCTTTTATCCTTATTCATTTTTATATATAAAATATTTTCTAAAAATTCATCTACATGTACATAGTTAGCATGAGGGTGTTATTGGCTACCCTGCAACTATAAGAGGCTCACAAGGTATAATAATGAATGGATGAACTCCCAAATTTTAATTCATCTACTGCTTTTCTTTTTTAATCTTTCCTTCTTTCCCACCCACTTTGTCAGTTGTTAAAAAGAGATCGACTTATTAACTCAATTTTGTTTCGATGAGAAAATCAAGTTGAAGAGTTGCAAATTTTCCAAGTTGCACCCAGTGAAATTGTTTCCCTCTTCTGTACTGATCAATTAGTGGTATATTTTCTAGGATATATTCAGAAAAATGAGTTTAATAAACTCTTATTAAACTAATCTCACTACATTTGTCTGTAATGTACAATTAATGTGTTTAGGTCAGGCTGAAAAGACTTTCACAACGTTAATTATTCTACCAAATAACTCACATGACAATAACAGGCAAATTGGGTAGAAAAGGTAGATTAACGTTGAGAGTTGAGGGTGAAACACACTTGCATTGCAAATTGCCAAAACACAAATATGGTTCCTTTGAAAAGTGGTGGTGGGTGAGAGTCTAAGTTGGCTCCTTCACCCAACTTGCACTTCCTTCTCAAAACCCCTCTTTTCATACCATATACTTAACAATGTCTGTATTAATTAATTAACCTTGTATTCTATAAATAGGACAAATATTCTGCCCTTAGAAAAACTATTATTTTTTATATGAAAAGGGTCATAACAATTTTGTCTCAATTAACCCCAAAAATAAAAAACTTAGAATTGTAACTCATTCTAACTCATTTTTAAGTGATTTAATTTACATGAACCCCCACTTGCTAATTGAGCACGTGCAGCCATTCAGCATGGGAATGTTGGGCGCATATGCACGTGTATCTGCTCAAGCCCTTTATTCATCATATTTACATTTAGCTTTTCAATTTGTTAAACGTTGACCGCAATCTTACCCTCATCCACTTTTTTTCTAAGTCATGACGGAGCAATTTAGATTTTATTTTGGCTTTATATGATAACTTTTGTTGACTCTTGTTTAAATAAAGGCTAAATTATATATTTAATATTTTTTTTGAAAATTTATTTTTATAAAAAATTATATATCAATTTTTTATAAAAATTTATTTTTAATTTCATCTTTATTGATATAGTGTTATATGAACAATATTAAATTTCTTTCTTACTTGATAAACGCTTATTCAAGATGACAAATTTAAATTACTTTTTAATTTTTATACAATATTCTTTTTTGTAATTTAGTTTCTGTAAATAAAAAAAATTATATATTAATTTTTATAAAAAAAGTTTATTTACAATTTTATCATTATTATTACAATAATATTTTTATATTAGTATTAAGTGACATTTTTTATCATTTTTATAAGAGTATTTCAAATTCTTTAAAAAAAGTCTCATATTCTATTCTATATCTTTTTAATTCAAAAATAAATAAAAATAGTGGTGATAGTAATGATTTAAAGAGTAATTATGATATTCTTACAAATATACCAATGATGTAAAAGAAAGAATTTTAAATACTCCTCTAAAGATGATAGGAAAATATTGTTGAGTATGAGAGTTTTAGGTAAGAAGTTTCATAATAAGTAAGATATCATAGTACAACTCTAAAATCTTAAGGCTTTATACTCTCCACACGTAAGTGTCACAGCTTTTTGCTATGACTTATTTAGTGTCACTGTTTTTTCTACGATATGCTCTCATACTGACCATAGGCGTGACCTTATCTACTCATTTGAGCTGGTCTCTTGTATTGACACTATTGGTTAGAAAAAATTTTAGATAGAGAGTCTCAAAATAAGTAGGGCACCACAATGTAACTCTAAAACCTTAAAGCAATGAGTGCATGGTCCATCTTCGTATAAACTCTTAACTTGACTATATCCCATTTTATGTTGGACTCAATTCACAATTAATTCTAACAAATATCACATGACATTAATATGAAAATGTTACCGTAATAATAAAGATGAAATTACAAATATATCTGCAT